TGATGGTTGGACAACATGATGAACATAATTAATGCCACTGAACTGTACATGTGAAAATTGTTAAAATGTCAAATGTTTTGTCACACATATATTTACCACAATAAAAATAAATTTAAAAAAAAAGGGGGGGAGCTTTTGACAGTCCATCTTGTCAACCTCCTTTGCCAAGTAGCACCACATTGAAACCCCCTCACTAGTGATTAGCTCCTTTTCTGAAAGACCTCCCCCGGAAGGTGCTCCACTGTGCCAGGGAACACACCAGCAATGGGAAACACAAGGGCACAGACCACCACGGCTCTTCAGTTCAGTCTTCCTTGTTCACTCTGAAACCGTTTTAACAAAATGGTTCTGTTTTACTGCTAGCTACCATCTCATCGACAAGAGCCTCTAGGGTAGTGGGCTCATGCAAGGCCAGGGATCCTATGACCTAAGACTTTGGGGCCCAGGACATAAACATCTGGCATTACTTTTTCATTTTTAAGGTGACTCATGCTCAATTATTAAAAAATTGAGTATCAAAGAAAAAGAAAAAGAAAGTAAGCAAACCCTTGCTCACTAAAAAGATCACCATCACTGCCATTCTAGTGTGTTTCCTTAGACTTTCTTTCATAAATTGAGTTGGGAGTTTTGTTTCGTACCTAGTGGCACTTTTCTTACCAGTTGCCATCAAGTCCACCCCAACTCACGGAGACCCCATGTATGTCAGAGTAGAGCTGTGCTCCACAGGGTTTTTAATGGCTGACTTTTTAGAAGTAAATCACCAGGCCTTTCTTCCAAGGAGTCTCTAGGCAAATCTCCAACCTTTTGGTTAGCAGCCTAGCATGTTAACTGTTTGCAGCCCCCCCTCCCCAGGGACTCCTGCATCTTTCTAGTTTCACTTAACTTCAATATCACAAGAAATTCCCAAGTTTTAAAACTATCTTTATAAGCATGCTTTTTTCACTTACCATAGCTTGGTTCATCATGTCCTATTGTTGAAATTTTACATTGCTTATTGTTTTATATGCTTATATATAATGCTGCAACTTCTTTTTCATTAAAGCAGCATTGCACTGTGGTTACTAGCTTAAGTTTTGAAGTCATATGCTATTTCTGTAGATGCACAACCTTTGACAGTTGCTTGACCTCTGCAAGCCTTAGTTACATTGTTAACTGTCCTTGTGAAGGAGAGGTCATAGTACCTATCACACTGCATTGTTGTGAGATCAAGTGATTGTAAAGTGCATAGTGCCTAATATAAAAGAATCATGAAATAATCACTCCATGAGTGGTGGCTAGTACTGGAATTATTTAGAATAATTTTGAGGTTCTTGATAGATATTGACAAAACATTTTCCAGATGGGTTATATGAATATAACACCCATCAGAAATGTATGATATTCAAATTCATTTCAAAAGGTCTAAAAGAAAATAGAGCAAGACTAGTCTGTGCTGAAACTATGGATGTCCTTGACTGTCTAAGAATTTATCACCTTAGTGCCTACAGTTAGATCGGGTAGGGAAGCTTCATAGCACCTACCTATTTACTAATTAACTGGCCCTTAAGCAAATAATCCCTCCCTAAAACATCTCTTAACACTACCAAAACAAAACCAAACCTGTTGACGTCAGTTCTGACTCACAGCGACCCTACAGGACACAGTAGAACTACCCCATAGGGTTTCCAAGACTGTAAATCTTAATGGAAGCAGACTCCCACATCTCTCTCCTGCAGAGCTGGTGGGTTAGAACCGCCAACCTCTCAGTTAGCACCCGAACACTTAACCACTGTACCACCAGGGCTCCTTTTCCTTAACATTAGCATCCATTAACATCTTTACCAGTTTCTCTATGATTTGGGATACTGTTCCAACAATATAATACAAATGGAGTGCAAAGTCAAATCACAGATCTTACAAAATATTGAGACTGTTAAAGGATAACTGCTTTTACAATGTGCAAAACCATCATCGAATGAGGATCTGGCTGACTTAGGCTAGTCAACTAACAGAAAATCAATGATTTCAAGATAGGTGTTTTAGAAAATAATCTGGATGTCAAAGAGGAAGGAGGCCCTTAGAAAATTTAGTAAGGCTTTCTAACATCTTGGAGCCCTGGTGGAGCAGTGGTTAAGAGCTCGGCTGCTAACCGAAAGGTCAGCAGTTCGAACCCATCAACCGCTCCATGGGAGAAAGATGTGGCAGTCTGTTTCCATAGATTTACAGCCTTAGAAACTCTATGGGGCAGTTCTACTGTGTCCTATAGGGTCGATAGAGTCAGAATCCATTCAATGGCAGTGGGTGTTTTTTTATATACTAAGCACTTTTGATTAAGAAAAATGTTTTTCCTACTGTTTTGTGCTTCGAGGTAAGGTCCCAATCAGATCCTCCTGCCCCATGTAGCAGTTGCTTTTTGCGGACCACGGCAGAGGCTGCAGGCTCCACACAAGTCCTTCCCTGCCTGCCAGGGTTCCAACCCTTTCACTTCCACCAAAGAAAGCATTCCAGAATTTAGGGGTAGGAATGACATTACTGAATGGTTCTAATTTATATAAAAATTAATCTATAACCTTAAAATTTTTAACTATTATTTGTATCCAACCATTACAATATACATTATAACAATGGTTTCCAAAGTAGAAGTCACTGGGATATGGGGATAAAGTTATCTGTCTTTACATTTTTGTCTTCTAATATACATATTATCACAGGAGTATATATACGTAACTTTCACATACTCATATTCCATGTTAAGGCTGCATTTTTTTTCAATGATAGAACGCAATATCAAATATGTTTAGAGACCAGTGGTTGAAAAGGGCTAAACTACATCCTGGTTCCCAATCTCAGCAAATTGGGGAGGAAATTCTTTCATCTGGTACTATGAGAGCCAGTCTGCTGAAATGCTGTTTGCTTCAGGCGAAAAAAAGTCAGTAGCACCTTTTCTTGCTCCATTTCACACCAGCAAGTTAGGCCCTGATGGGGATTCCTAGTACTTTGCTAATCTACAAAGGCAACATAAAGGTGACTATCCCACTTGTAATAATGTACAGGTAGCCCCCAGGAGATGAAGGAGATCTGTTCCTAAGTGTCTTTAAGTTAAATTTGTAGGTAAGTTGGACCAGGTGCACATTGCTCTTATTTAGCCTTATTTTATTGCAAGAAAAGGCTTGATGCCTTTCCGCTGATTTAAAAGCTGCACGTGCAGCAAGTGAAGGTGACTGTGATGAAGAATTTGCTGAGCAGGGGCTGGTTCAATAGTTTCAAAGCGAGGGAAAATTTACATAACATTAAAGGGCAAGTATGAGTTGTTCTTAAGTCGAACAACTTACTGTATAACCCAGGGACTTACTGCATATCCTTCAGAATACTGAGAGCTTATCCACTAGTGAAGAGAACTGATTAAACTGGCCTCTCTGATCCCTAGGAAGCAGTTAAACACTGACTCTAAATATATCTTAGAAGTTTGAAAAGAACTGAAACAGGTAAGTGAATTCAGTAGTCAAGATTTTTATAAGGTTTAGAATTCAAAAAGTCCAACAAAGATTACAATAGATATTTATTTAAAGTAATACAACTGCAGCCCCAATGGTTCTTAACTTATACATTTCAGGTTTAACCGACTTCATAAAAATACTTTGAAGACAGCTGCATCCACAGATTTCAATCACACACTTATCTCTTTGCCCATTCTTCTCTCTCTTTTCTTTCCCGAATAACTTCTTTCAGATATGGTTCAAGGTAAAATTTATCCTGAAGAACAAATAACAGTATTACATGCCACCATCATGTATGGATATACCCCAAACACTTAGCAAGTCTTAAAAAACAGAAGAAACCCATCAAAATTAATTGCTTTCTATTTCTAGTTTAAGAAGACATATTCTCACCCAGACTGAGGACTGTCTGCTTTCCTAAAATGTAAAAACCCACAAAAGATGTTGTAATAAGTTGCTTCGATAAGTTATGAGAGGGAAGTCTGTCAGAGGAAAGAAAGAAATGAGAGTCTACAGGCTTTGGTCTAGTTTACACAGTTCAAAGTGTGAGGGTTAGAGGGCCACTCAATGGGCTGATCACATGAACAACATGATCTTTTAATCTACGGAAGCACAGTGTAGAGGGGAAAAAAGCAATGGCCTGGGAGACAGAAGACCTGACTCTAGTCTTGGCTTTTTATATTAGAGACTTGCTTAGTGTTGTGGAAGAGTCACTTCACCTCAATTTGTTCATCTCTAAAATGGGGCTAATACTTGCTCTATTAACCTCTCAGGGCTATTGTTACGAATACAGAATCCTTATTCGCCAACACTGTCAGATACATAAAAGCAGCTTTACCTCCTCGTATTTTGTCCACTGCTCTTTAGGCAAGATCTGCTGCCTCATGGTCAGGTCTAGTGCTCTCTTAATGCGAAACATCCTGTCATTATAAAGGTTCTCAGGAAGCCTTCTTATGGCTTCTTTCACATCTTCATCCTCATATATTGTATCATCTCGCATTAACCCTATGATAGAAAACAAGAAAGTTAGATTGAACATTCATCTCTAAAATCAGGATTTTTTTTAATGAGTAAAATATATTATCTATAACTTAGGACTTGGGTGAAATATCAAGAGAGAGTTCATATTACTAAGTACAATCGAAATCTAGCAATGAATGTTATACACAATAATGGATTATTTGTTAAACAACGTATGACTCTTAAAATCCACTGCCACAATATTCACAACATTTTACCTAACCAATTTTAAAAGTATGTAAAACATCTACTTTGTTTTTAAACACACATCAATAAATCGTAACTGTATTTTCTTATACTTTAAATCTGAGATTAAAGAACCTTACAATGGTAGTACACTAAGGAGTCAGTAACATTTACTAGAGCTTCCCTCAAGCTTCAACAGCACAAGATGAAGTTCACGGCAAATTACAAAGTTCTGAAATAGTTGAGGAGTCAGATAATTGTAGAGATGTCAGACAATTTTAATATTTGAAAAATCCCTACTTTCAATGTTCATATAACTTAAAATTTAACATTAAGTGGAGGAGATGGAAGGGGGGAGTGTATTGTAAGGAAAATGTCCTAATACCTTATTTCAAGAACATAAATCATTTCCACCTTAACCACCAAGACGATTCCATTCCTCTTCTCTCAAAAGAATAATAGAAACGAAAATGGATTTCATTTCACAAAAAAATGTGACCTAATTTAAAAATTGTCTGATGTACACAGGAACAGTTACTTTTTGGAACCATAATGACTCTTGCAAAAGGATCACTCTCAGAAAAGAGAAAAAAAAAGAAAAGGAAACAAAAGGAAGCACAGATACTCACCGAGTTTATTGAACCCTGCAGCATTGTAATACCATTTTCGAATACCCTTCAGCCACCGGCCTGATGCTGCAACTGATGTTGTCACACTGTTAGTTGTTACAATTGACTCATACACTTATACTCTATGAACACTGATAGGCAAGCAACCCGTACTCTTAGAGAATTCAAACACAGGAAGTGGTTTCCTTTTGTAAGTTTACACACTGCAGGTAGTCCCCAACTTATGATATATTTCAGTTATGACAAACTGCACTTATGACCATCTGGTTTTTTTTTTGTATACCTCATTGTTAGTAATATGTACTACATACAATGTTGCAGCACGTAATTTGCTGTTATCATTCTCAGATGTTCATTCGCAGAAACATCACATATGAATTGAAGGTGGATTCTTGCCCCCCAACAAAAAAAAGAAGGGAGAGAGGTGGGGAGGGGCCTCAGAACTTATCATTTGTAGTTTCAGCAA